CTCTCTCTCTCTCCTTCAAAAATAAATAAAAACATTAAAAACAATTAAAAAAAATAGTCATCACACGGACTGAAACATTACAGCATGCCCCCATGTGGTCACCTTATTTTACTGATAGTCTTGGTTTCTTTGGTTATGTAGTTAGCCACTTTATGACCAATCAAATATAATAATTCACTATTACCAACATTCATTTAAACAGTAGTTATTTAGTGAAAATTATGCACAAATTTCAAAATGTATGCTGGGTATGTTCTTGTCTAGTCAAGTATTTGTATACTTCATATAGACTGGGCATAAGTTTGTCTTCCTCTGTGTTCAGTGCGTCTTAATCTTTTTTCCCATAGGGTCATTTTAGTTAGGTCACTCTCAAAACAGCTAAACCAAAGTGGGAGTACATTATTTTGGAGCAAGGGGATGTTAAAAAGAAACAGACTGCTACTTCTGTTATTGGGAACGGGATTGAGGTTTTGAACAAAATCTGTTCTTTTGATCACTTACTTACAGATTGCATGTTATTGATAAAATCTGGACCATGTATATATTGAGTTTTTAATATTGTTGGTTGTCTCGCACCTCTTTATTGGGCTTAGAGGTATGAAGTTCCCTAAGCTAACTGTTTTGCATGTTGTGTTGATTTCAACTAGAGCCTAGTAGTAAAAGCACACCAGGGACTATGAATGCCGAGGAGGCAACAAAAATTTTGGCAGAGAAACGGCGCCTTGCTCGTGAACAAAGAGAAAAAGAAGAAAGACTACAAAAGGAAACAGAGGAAAGGTAGGTACCCTCAGGTTAAATGTATTATAAATAATATGAAAAATCAACGAGTAACTGACTTTTTCTTTACTGTGAATCAGAAGTGACTCCTTGCCTTCAGAACAAATGTGGGAAGCCTGTCTAGCAGAGAGGATGCTGGTGTGTAGGTAGATGGTATAGTTGTCCTTAGTATCTGTGCATCATGTGTCATTAAGTTGTACTGTAAAGATGCTTGAGACCAGAACTTGTGTCGGGGTCCCATATCTCGGCAGGAACACCGGGGTGATCATGCCAGACTGTTTCGGTTGGCATTCATTGGAGTCCACCCCTTTGTTTCAAAACTCTTTTGTAACTTTAGAATTTGTAAGCCTGGAAAGTATACTTCCTCATGTTTTGCTAGAGGTGCTTTCCAGTGACCTTTGTGACGCCTGAATCTCCTCAGTCATTGCTGGAAGGCTTTCCTGTGAGCAGCAAACCTCATGTACAGTTGTGTTCATTCTGATTCCATCTCAAGGTTTCTTTACCCTCAGTCTTAGAGCGCAAGAGGGGGAAGGGCAGAGGGAGGGAGGGAGAGAGAGAGGGAGAGAGGGAGAGAATCTTAAGCAGGCTCCATACTCAGCGTGGAGCCTGATGTGGGGCTCGATCCTGTGACCCTGGGATCATGACCTGAGCCAAAAGCAAGAGTCAGATGCTCAACCAACTGAGCCACCCAGGCACCCCAACCCTCACTCTTGAAGCTCACTTGATTTAGGGCTCTGGGATATAAACCTACCTACTGCCTGCAAAGAATAACTACAGTCCTGAGTTGTTTTTTAAGTGGTGAGTATTTGAAATGCAGTCACATGTGAATAGCAAAAACTGTTAACTGGAAGGCCATCATTCATCACTTCATGTAAACAGCTAATTTAACGTTTTAAAACCCCTGCGTACCCGTCATTGTGGATGGGGCTTTCCCCTGGGCACCACCAGACCCTCCTTTAAATTACATATGTGTAAATAAGGCCTTTTGGAGGGTCCCATGTGTCTAAAATAGTTAAGGAATGTTTTTCTTTCTCTCATTTTAGAATGCAGAGTGGCCCATTATTTGATAGAAATCTTTCTACTCCCAAGAGCTGGTTTCCCACATTTAAAAAGGGTGAAATTGGGCAAATTTTGTACAGTAACAACACAGAAAATGTAGCGAATCTGGTGTAAAAATGTAAGTTGTGTTCCTATACACAAGCAGTTCCACTATAAAAGTGCACGTCCAGGGTCACCTGGCTGACTCAGTGGAGCATGTGACTCTTAATTTCAGGGTCATTTCAAGCCCCGCGTTGGGTACAGAGGTGACTGAAAAGCATGTATTGCTGCAACCTCTGTGTGGTAGAGACCGAGACAAATACTAAGAATTGTTTAAATATCGTGTCATTAGGAAGGTGAAGGAAATGGCAGAGAAAGGAGTTGACACCCAAGGAGAAGAGTTCTCAAAACTCGAAGATGGACAAAGACGCGATGAAATGAAGAAAGGATGTACAGATCCGGAAGACCAGAAAGTGCTGCTACAGGTTTGCTGTATCCACTCTATCGGCGGGTGACCGGGTTCTAAAATTCAGTGGAAGCCCGAGGCAGCCTTTGTCCAAGAAAAGGGAGGACCAGATGCAGGCTTCTCTGGCTGCATTTTTCCAGCACAGTCTAGCCATTGCTTGGTGCTGCTGCAGGTCATTCTCAGCCACCCTTGGCACAATCCTAGAAGATTCTCCAAGTGCAACTGGAGCAGAAAGCAGCAAATTATAGATTAGTAGTGTTTTATTTTGTCTACATAAACAACATTGCAGCTTGGCTTCAGAAAATCAAATTGCTCACAGATTAAATGTCCTAAGTGAGTTTTTCTGACCCTGCATTCTGTGGCAACACTCACAGCCACACTCCAGACACACTTCCAGCACAGATGATAAAAAGTACGAATACCTCTAAAAGTTCAAAGCCCTCCATGGGGCGCCTGTGTGGCTCAGTGGGTTAAATGTCCAACTCTTGATTTCAGCTCAGGTCCTGATCTCACGGTTCATGGGATTGAGCCTCGTGTCGGTCTCTACACTGACAGTGAGGAGCCTGCTTGGGATTTTCTCACTCCCTGGCTCTCTGCCCCTCCCCCACTCAAGTGCATGCTCTCTCTCAAAATAAACTTTAACAAAATTTAGAAAAGAATAAAGTCCTCCAATTCTCCAATAATGTCTCACCCATGCAAATTCAAATCACTAGGTAAATAAATCCACAAACTGAGCTCAGACTGTACTCAGTTTGAATTATTAACATAGTCCACTTTATATTCCATTTTTAGCCTATCCCTTAGTAAAATCAGGTATATGTTACATAAATGATTGTGTGCGTTCGCATTCCTCAAGAACTACCTTTAAGGATCCTTTCGGTGCTTTTGAAAGGTGTAAGACTTTTCAGCTCCTGTTGCTGTGTTCATGGATAGCTACATAATCACATATTTTCAAACTATAGTGGCCTGGTAACCACTAATGATAACCGTGGGGTCCTGGAGGGGACTGACATGGCTTCTAAATCCTCAAGATACTAGCCTAGTTTTGTGCATTTTAGCTAATGCTTTGAAAATTGGTAATTCATGAATGTTGTGCATATAGGTACTGTCAGTCAAAAGGTTACATGCTTTTATGCCAGATAACATTTTACTATTTAACTTTTTCAACTGATGTTCTTGGTTATCACTCATATATTGAGATCAAAATGGTATTTTTATACAAATTTTCTAGAAGGGGGACACCAAAATAAAAGCTGATGAGGAGGCTGACAAACGCAAGAAGGAGCACGAGAGAATTATGTTACAGAATTTGCAGGAGAGATTAGAAAGAAAAAAGGTACTCTTTCTGTTTTGGGAGTTTGGTTCTTTTTGGAAAAATGTTGGGCACATGATATCAAAACGTGTTCTTCAAAAATCACAAATAAGTGGTACGCTAGCCTCTGGTGGTTTTCCCACTAGAACTCTCTAATCCAAGGATCTCACCCTTCCTGCATAGAAGGGTCTTCTCTTACCATACCTCTCCATCATGGACCACTGGTGACCATTACAGTGACACCTCCATATTCACTGACCTCTGGAAACAGAGTTCGTTTGAATAGAATCACTCCAGTCATTGGGAGGGGTTGATGGAAGTTAGTGTCTTCTAAACTAGGCTGGAAATTGCAGCAGCTTGAGCAAAGGAAACAGAAGGGTGCAGGCTTCTCCGAAAGGCCAACACACAGGCTGTTTGTAAGGTAGGGCCTCCCTTTGTGCAACTTAATTGGCTCGTCTGGGAGCAGAGAAGGCCCCGGCCCAGGCTGCAAGGCCTCTGTTGAGAGATGGAGGTCGCCCTGAGGAGGCCAGAGAGCTACAGTTCTCCTCACCTTCAGGGAAGGAAGTGTGCACCAGGGAGAAATTTCCCTCCTGGGTGTGTGCTCTTTCCAGCAAGAAAGTTCTGATAGTGTCGCATCAGTGGGGTGCAGTCTTTTCATTAATATCTGCTTCGCTCGTGGTCTATTCAGACTAAAGTACATTAAAAAGTCCTCACTGGTTTGCAGCAATACATGCTTAGTTTAAGTAATGGGTGTCTAAGTCTATGAACTTCGGAGTGAGAAGTCATTGGATCTGTGTGTTAGGATAGCTAGTACCCACTCAAGACATTTTCTGGACCGACTGAAACTGGGATTGGAAGGATTCTGGTGGCCGCCGTAGGGTCTCTTGTCTGCTAAGTCTGTGGCTTGGGAGCAGTCAACTGACACTGTCCACTTATGGGAAACAGAAGTAATCAACTTCTTCAGGACCACTGTTTTGTTTTTAATCTGTTTTCGTGTTTGAATTTTTATTTTCCTTTAGAGAATTGAGGAAATTATGAAGCGGACAAGAAAGACATATTCAAATACCTCACAGGTAGTCTATGCGTTCCTGCCAGCGGTGCCTAAGAATTCCTGTTGCTTCACCTTCTTGCCGACTTTTTCATTCTTGCCAGTCTGGTGGTAATTAAAGTATCACACTCGCATGTCTCTGATTAAATATTAAAGAGGTTGAGCATGTTCTCCTATCTTTAGCTGTCATGTTTTTTCTTGTGTGAGATGCTTATTCAGGTCTCTGCCCAAAACTTTTGGGTTGATTTGTCTTTTTCTCACTTGTAGTTCTTAAAATGTGGATGCCACTACTTTCTTGCTTATATGGACTGCATATATCTTCTCCCAGTTTATTTGTGGCGTGTCTTAATGCTGTCTTCTATTGGATAGAAGTTCTTAATTTGCACACTATTGAATCTATTAATATTTTTTGATGATTAATGGAGTCGAGTGCCTTTTCATCTGCTTTTTGGCCATTTGAAGATCTGCTTTGGTGAAGCGCCGTATCAAGTCCCTTGCCCATGTTTCTGTTTGGCGGCTGGCCTCTTTCTTACTGATGTGTAGGAGTTTTTACCTGCTCGAGTTATGAGCCCTGTCAATGTGTAGGTATTGCTGTAGTTCGCCTCGTACTCTCAGAATGCCTTTTGCTGAACAGAAGTTCATTTTAGTGAGCTCAGATTCAGTGGGTTTTTTTTTCATTTATGGTATGCTTTTGGGGGGTCTATCTCTATACCCCAGCATCCTGTCTTTTGATGCATCTAAGACCCCTTTCCTCCAGAGTCTGTGCCCTTTACCCTTTGTGCAACAAGATTGATGTTTTGGTTGTTTACAGTTCCCCAGCATGGTCATCCATATCCTGAAAATTCAGAATAGAAATGTCATTTCTGGAAAGTGCAGGGAGTCACCATCTGAAAGATCATTTAGCCCACTGGCTCAAGCAGCAGCCAAGAACTTTTTTTAGTTATTTATCAATCGTCCCTTCCTTGGCTTAGTTAGGGCTCGGAGCACACAGAGAGGCCACATGCCAGCCCAAAGCATTGTTCCTTGGCTCCCACTCTTGAGTGTCTTTCCCTAACTGAAAGACACAACTAGGGCCACAACTAGGGCCACTCTTTGGGGCCAAAGAGTTTAGATTTTTTATCTCTTAATTAAAATTAGGCAGCAGTCCGGCATGAAATCTGTTTTCTTTGAAATAACCAAGTCAGGATAATGGAAGATTAGATGTAACCATGACTTCTTTTCTCATCGTAGGCTGCAGAAACATTCGGTGACAACACATACGAGGAGGATGAAGCAGATGATGAGGACGAGTCAGAAAGCGACGATGACTCCTTCGATGACCTACATCCATCAGGTTTGCTTGCCTTTTGAGTTCTGTTCGTCACCATTTAAGAGTTAACTGCCTGGGTTCATCCAGGGGCTCCTCTGCTTCTGAGCTGTGTGGCTTTGGGCAACTTACTGAACCTCTCTGTACTCAGTCTTCCTACCTGAAAAAGGGGAAGTGAATGTTCTCTTCCTAGTGTAGCACGAGACTGCAATGGGATAATCCATGTAGTGCTAAGAGCACCTGACACGTAGGAAACTCTCAATAAAGGCTGCTACAGCAGCGACTGTTCTTGTTTTGCACGTTGTGCCATTACGGTGTAGGCGGTAGCTCGTAACTGAATGTGAGGGTTACGAGAATGTCACAGCTCAGGGCCTCACATGGCATCCATGACTGATGACAGGTGGAATGCCACTTTCCACCTCACTGAGAAAAATAGGATTCCTGTCGTGATCTGAGTGTTCTCTGAAATGTATGGCTGATTCCCTTCTGAGTAGGAACCACTTTATGGCAGCAGTACTAGGAACTTGAGAGAACACTGTTGTCCACGTTTTACCCCACAAGTGGATATGAACACGCAAGTCAGGCGTTCTGGGTACCAGGGATACAGACAGGAGGAGGTGTGGCCCCAGGAGAGCCTGTGGGGAGATAGACGTAGGAGCAGACGGTGACCCTGCCACAAGCTGGCCGGCCTGAATACGGTGAGCAGTAGGAGCAGGGCCAGGTGTGGGGTCAGCTCAGGGCGCTGAGGAAAGCTGAAGGTAGAGGGAGCCCTGGCATCAAGACTAAACGAACAGGCGGGGCTGGCGAGGTGGGCAGTCAGGAGGAGGGGTAAGAAGCATGCTGCCTGCTGCCCTCTGCCCTCTGGCCTGTCTTGCCCGGCAGAGGAAAGCGGGCAAGTTCCTTAGAGGTGGCCCCTTTGTTGTTTGAGGCCAGAGTGGGCCTGTGTGCCGGGTGGCGGCTTACACCCCAGAATACTGCTGCATGGCTCTTCCTCCTGCCTTTATGTGGCCGGCCGTACTCCGGCCCGGCAGGATCGTGGCCTTTGCCTCTTGTTGTCTGCATTGTTGAAACTCCAGTTTTAATCTTCTTCCTTTCTTTTTCCAAGCCTTTATAAATGGCATGGATTCATCCACAAAATTCAAAACACATTTTAAAAACATGAAGAAGAACACTCCCAAGCTGGTGTTTTTAGACGCCACTTCTGGCCAAGTCCATAGAGAGACAAAAACATTTTTTAATGGCGACACGAAAACCTTCAGACAAAAAAGTGCGAAAAACCCTTTGACTCAGGCGAAGGGTACCAGGTGAGTCCAGTGAGCCTATCAGAATACACTCGGTGGGAGTCCTACATGAGATTAGTGACTGAGGTCTTAGTTTGTACCAAGCACGGTGTCAAGCACTTCCAGAAACAAAGTAATCCCCACAGCAGCCTTGCTAGGCAAGGGTTATCATCTTCACTTTTACAGACGAGGAAACTGAGGCACGGAGAGATTACAGGTCTTGGTTGCCCAACATCCCACCGTTAAAGGGCAGAGCCCACATTCAAACTAGATGCATCTGACTCTAAGCTGTGCTTTTGTGCACACTGGTTAGCATTTTCTCATAAAATCAGGGAAGGGGGGGGCACTGAGTGACTGCTGCATACCAGGCATCTTTTGCTGCTTATTTTAATTCTCATTGTGACTCTGAGTTCAGTATTGATGTCATTTTACATATGGGGAAACTGAGGGTCAGAAGTTTGGTTGGAAGAGTGGGAACAGATTCTTGGAAGGGAAGGCTCCCTGGGGATTCCCTAAAGAGACACTGAACCTTCAGGGCCCGTGGGAACACGATGGGCTGAGAGGCGCAGTGTCGGGCCAGCACGAGCGCTGGAGCTAGGAGAGCCACGTTCGTCCTCACTGCACTGCATGGTTGTGTCTCAGGTCAGAGTGAAGTAGGGATGGGGCTTCTGCATCCCTGCACATGCAGCTGCTCTTAGCCCTGCTTAGTGTTTGCTGAACCCTAGGACTTTGCAGGACACAATTTGGAAACCAGTGTGGTCTGTGATCTCCAGGGTCCCTTCCAGCCTTCCTATTCTAGGATTCTGAAGGTTAAGTTACTTCCAAGGCATTTCTTAGAAGTTAATTAAAGGATAAAGCTGCTTTCAGGACACAGCCTTGGTTCTGGGACAGTCAGGATTCTAACCCAAACCTCTCTTTCCAGACCGTCCAGCAAAAGAATGAGCAGCCGAGCAACAAAAACCAGAAAGGCAAGTGAAACCAGCAACACCGTGGGACCTAACAAAAGTGTACATCCAGAGGCACAGGAGTGGATCTGTGACAAGATTGTTGACATCAGAGATGAGGCAGAGGCACTCATGTCCAGTATCCCTCCTGATAGCCGAAAATACCACCTGAAAGGTTCCATCACATTCCATCAAAGTCCCCAGATGCCTTTAGATGACGAGAAAAACAAATGTGTACCTCCTCTATTGGGTAAGGCCTCATCCTGTCTTCACACTGTTTGAAAGGCAGTTGGCCGTGAACCCTCCTGCTTTGGCTTTTCCAGGGCTTTCTTGGCATCTTGTAACTTCAGAGGTGAGACGGGAGACCGTGGTGGATCCAAACACTAGGTTGATCTCAAAGAACTTCCATTAAGTTGGTTTTGAGAGATGGGGCGCCTGGGTGCCTCAGTCGGTTAAGCATCGGACTTCGGCTTAGGACATGATCTCACGGTTTGTGGGTTCGAGCCCCGTGTCAGGTTCTGTACTGATAGTGTAGAGCCTGCTTGGGATCCTCTCTCCCACTCTCTTTCTCTCTGCCCCTACCCCACTTGCACTTTTTCTCTCTCTCAAAATAAATAAATACACTTAAAAACTTAAAACGTTGGTTTTGAGAGGGTAGATAACTTGATTTTAGTTTTTATGCCCCGAATTTCCTATCAGACATATAAAATAGGTTCTTTTCAGCCCCCAGTCCACAAGCTGCTTTACAGCATACAGGTAACCATTTAGGGCAGAGGTTAGTGAGGCCTTTGGAATTAGTCTCTCTCTCACCCTGAATTTCCAAAACCAAAAGGCCTTTGCTTTTCTTTCCTCAAGAAGCTGTCTTTGAAATTGAGAGGCAGCTTGGGCCTATTTGGGAGTTGGAGTCATGGGGAGTATTTAGTACTAGGGCACCAGTGTGTCAGCAACTTGGATTGGGGAGGGGGTTGCCAAGGGTCCCGGGGCCCACCCCGAAGGGAGGCTGAGGCCCAGTGGCTGTGCAACCAGCATCTTCTCTACTAATCTTTCTTTTCTTTTTCCCTCTGGTCAGACATGTAAACCTCGTGCAGCCCAGAGGAAGATTCATCCTCCGCTCTGGATTTCAATTGCTAGGCCCATCTCCCCACATTTCTCTGCCTCTGACTTGAACCTGGCCAAGAAAATGACCATCCAAGAAGGAGAAAAACATCAGTCACCTTAACACGTGTCTCAAAAGATGCGCATACCACCTTGATTCTTGCCCACAGCAAGGGTTTTGAGTAAAGACCTGTTTTTGTTTGTCTGTAGAAACCTCCGCTGTCTTGTTCTTGTTTTCCAGCCGGTATGTGTGAGTGTATACACCAAGGGTGCCTTTTTATCAAGTGGTAACTCTTGAGTTTCTAAACCAAGGAGTAATTTTCTCTCTTAAAATAATGCTTATTCTGTTTAACAGTTACATTACTTTAACAATTCAAAGCTGACATATGATCTCATAGACGACTTGATGGGGGGTGCGAGGAACTCAGGATTGCTCACAAGAGCTTTGCTAGATTGTTTATAATGAACGGGAGGTTGCAAAATATAGTTATAAGTTCCATGTTACCGTTATGTATGTTTTTAGCTCTGCCATCACCGGAGTGCACAGGCCCCGGCACTCCCAAATGCCAGGGGTCCTAGAAAGTGTCGTCTTGGGACAGTTTAGCACCTTTCGTGCTTATCATCAGTCTTACCTTTTGAAGTGCACGGGGGGGGGGGGGG